GAAGGATTCATTACCTGGAATATTGCACTGTTGTAGTCCAGTCAAGAGGAGACAAAGGTGTGAATAACCCTAGGCCAGATCATCCTTCACCAAGATGGGATGGAGTCTCCTAACCAACTAGAGATGATGAGAAGCATTACTCGGGGATGTTGCTATGTGAGAGCTTAGCATCAGCAAGGAATCCAGAAGCACTCATAGAATCATAGAATCATAGAATCATCACCATCCAGCCACATGGACTTGTGCTCGTCCAGCTTTTCTAAATAGTCCCGAACCACTTCTTTCTCCACAGAGGACTGGTCTCCTCCTCCCCATGCTGTGCTGCCCAGTGCAGAAGTCTGGGAGCTGACCTTGTTCGTGAAGACAGAGGCAAAAAAAGCATTGAGTACATTAGCTTTTTCCACATCCTCTGTCACTAGGTTGCCTCCCTCCTTCAGTAAGGGGCCCACACTTTCCTTGACTTTCTTCTTGTTGCTAACATATCTGAAGAAACCCTTCTTGTTACTCTTAATATCTCTTGCTAGCTGAAACTCCAGGTGTGATTTGGCCTTCCTGATTTCACTCCTGCATGCCCGAGCAATATTTTTATACTCATCCCTGGTCATTTGTCCAATCTTCCACTTCTTGTAAGCTTCTTTTTTGTATTTAAGATCAGCAAGGATTTCACTGTTAAGCCAAGCTGGTCGCCTGCCATATTTACTATTCTTTCTACACATCGGGATGGTTTGTCCCTGTAACCTCAATAAGGATTCTTTAAAATACAGCCAACTCTCCTGGACTCCTTTCCCCCTCATGTTATTCTCCCAGGGGATCTTACCCATCAGTTCCCCGAGGGAGTCAAAGTCTGCTTTTCTGAAGTCCAGGGTCCGTATTCTGCTGATTTCCTTTCTTCCTTGTGTCAGGATCCTGAACTCGACCATCTCATGGTCACTGCCTCCCAGGTTCACATCCACTTTTGCTTCCCCTACTAGTTCTTCCCGGTTTGTGAGCAGCAGGTCAAGAAGAGCTCTGCCCCTAGTTGATTCCTCCAGCACTTGCACCAGGAATTGTCCCCTACATTTTCCAAAAACTTCTTGGATTGTCTGTGCACCGCTGTATTGCTCTCCCAGCAGATATCAGGGTGATTGAAGTCTCCCATGAGAACCAGGGCCTGCAATCTAGTAACTTCTGCGAGTTGCCAGAAGAAGGTCCGGTGGTCTATAGTAGACTCCCACCACAACATCACCCTTGTTGCTCACACTTCTAAACTTAATCCAGAGACTCTCAGGTTTTTCTGCAGTTTCATACTTGAGCTCTGAGCAGTCATACTGCTCTCTTACATACAGTGCAACTCCCCCACCTTTTCTGCCCTGCCTGTCCTTCCTGAACAGCTTATATCCATCCATGACAGTACTCCAGTCATGTGAGTTATCCCACCAAGTCTCTGTTATTCCAATCACATCATAATTCCTTGACTTTGCCAGGACTTCCAGTTCTCCCTGCTTGTTTCCCAGGCTTCGTGCATTTGTGAATAGGCACTTGAGAACCCACTGATCGCCCCTCTTTCTCAGTATGAGGCAGGAGCCCTCCCCTCTCACGCGCTCCTGCTCGTGCTTCCTCCCGGTATCCCACTTCCCCACTCCTAAACTACAGACTGAATTCACTGATTGTGGGTGTGTACCTTCAAACAATGGAGACTACAATATAGTCTAGTGGCAAACTCTTCAAAATGCTTTCCTCTGCCCACCCATGTCTTGCTTGGGTTCAGCTTTCATCAGCTGTTCTTCATCCATGAGCTGATATCAAAGCACTAAGCCAGCTTGGTGGTGGTGGTGCAGAATAAGTAGAGCTGTGATGATCTGCATATTGGTGGCATTTGAGTCCAAGTGGTCTTTCTAGTTCACCTAGCAGCTTCATGTAAACATTGAGTAGGACTAGAGAGAGAGAAATGATCTTTGTGGAACTCCACAGGTGAGTAGCCTAGGGATTCAGGTGCAGTCTTCCATTGCTATTCTTTGGGTGCATCCCTACAAAGAGAACTCAAACCATTTTAGTATACTCAAACCAGTATTTCCCTGTCAGCTGAGGCAGGAATATCTAATGGTTGAAAGATGTGAATGTTGCAGAGACATCCAGGAGGATGAGAATGGATGTCACCACCCACTGGCAGCAGATGATCATCTAAAAGGTTTTCCCTTCCATGCCCTGGCCTGAGTCCAGATTCTGCTGGGTCTAGAATATTAGATTCAATGAGATAAGCTTGCAGTTGGCCTTTGACTAGTTTCTCTGAGCTTGCTCAGGAACAGAAGGTTTGACACTGGTGATAATTAGTAAGAACTGGAGTATCCAGAGTGGGTTAGTTCAGGATCATTCAGATTTTTGCATGTTTGAAGGAGGAAGAGACAGTTCTTTTCCTGAAGATGGCATTGGCTATTTCAGTCAGGAATGGCACCAGTTACTCATGCCTATCTTACACCAGTCAGAAAGGGCATAAGTTGGATTCACAGGTCTTGGGTCAAGACTCTTTAGGGTGTCCAGTACTTCTCAGTGAGTGAATGTACTGAACTCTTGGAATGCAGGTGGGCTGTAAATTGGCCAAGTGGATCCATGCTGTTTAAGAAACTTCCTGAAAGTGCTTGTGCGTGAACTTTTCAGCAAAATAGAATGATGGTCCTTCGCAGTGCTTGCTGCTCAGCTCGGATGCAGGGAGTAAGCATTCAGAATGGATGAAGCAGCTCCTTCAGGTTGGATTTGGCAGCTTTAGTGGAGGCTGGTAGGAAGACCATGTCCAGGATCAGGGTAGGTCTGGAAAAATTCTGTGTTTCAACCTATATGTTTCAGCCTTCATTTTCCATCATTGGTGCTCAGGTTTCTGCCTCGCTCTCTTTCATCTGGCACAGAGGTGTCTGAAAACCAAAGAGGCAATGGGAAGGAATGGGCCATTTGGGGGAGAATATGTCAATGTTTGAGGCTAGTATACAATTATGATGATTCACAACATCCTTAACAACTTGTCCTGGGGGCGGAGTGTTGCACTCCTTTAGCAGTTTGATGGAGTTGAAGAGCCATCATGGTTGTATCGGTCTTTCTTGATACCTGGGAGCTGGGAGTGCTCTGATTACCGCCTTAGTGAGATTGTGGTCTGTCCAAGATGGAGGCTGGGTTGTGATATCCTTGATATTGACATCTAATTCGAAAAACAGGACTTAGATGTGATTGGCTGTGTCAGTTGGACCCCTAATGACCTGTGAAAATCCTAGGAAGGCACGTTAGGAGGTGGTGTTCAGTGCTGTGAACACTGAGTGGAGCAAAGAGAGAAGCTGCATGAGTGCAGGCATTAAAGCTGTTGTTTTCCTCAAAGTGAATGTTAACATCACTTGTTCAGTGTTTCACGATAAACTCATTCAGAACACTGGAGTTACGAGAAAAAACCCTCTGCTCTGTGAAGTATGTTTCATGTGACTGCCTTCAGAAGCTCGGCAGTCGCAACACTGGCGTAGATTTTTAAAGCATACTTTTATCTTTTGTAGGAGTATTTTGGGACTATAAAAAATGTTGCAACAGTAGTGTCCTACTTTATGGTCTTGCAAATACAGTAACTTTATAGACTGCACTAGTTGGTATAACATTTTTGCCTTTATCTGCCTCTTCATGCCTTTTATCTTGTTTATCATAACAGTAAAATAGAAGCAAAAGAGCACTAGTCAAGCATTCATTCTATTATTTATGTAGTCACATTTAGGTTGGCTGGAGAGGGTGTTTTGCTTTTTGTTTTGAAACCTTTTGAAAGGATATTCAATATAATGGGCACAATAATTTAGATATGCAGTCTATGCTACAGACTCATACACAACCAAAGGAAGGAGAAGTAAAAGTATGATCAGATAAGGTGTTCAGGCTAAAATAAACCCCAACAATCATAAGGCTCTATAGAATTGTGTAGTGCTCAAAAAATGTCACCACATTTATTTTACAGTGAAATTCACTAATTTGAACTCATTGACTAGGAGACACGTTGCAAATTTGTGAATGATGTGAGTTAGTGAGTCGGTGAACAAACACAAAGAAAAACCCAGAAGACTGCATTATAAAATGTACTTTGTTCATTTATTTGACAAAATTACTTTGGTTTTGTTTATCATGACTCATAGTAAATGTGCTTTGCATAATGACAGGTTTCAGAGTAACAGCCGTGTTAGTCTGTATTCGCAAAAAGAAAAGGAGTACTTGTGGCACCTTAGAGACTAACCAATTTATTTGAGCATGAGCTTTCGTGAGCTCATGCTCAAATAAATTGGTTAGTCTCTAAGGTGCCACAAGTACTCCTTTTCTTTTAGTAAATGTGCTGTGGTACATTTAGTAAAAATAGGTGAATTCTTATTATGAGACACCTCACTACAGCACTATATCTGCTACTAAAACTTTTCAAGGGGTCACCTTATATTGTGTTCAAGTGAATTTGAGATATGATTTTAACTAAGTGTACATTTAAGAGCTTCTTCTGTACTCAGAAGAACTGGTAAACAGCATTATGGTGCGATGAGGGATTAAGTGCAGTGTACTGGTAAATGGTAAGGTGAGTCATCTTAAAATGTATTTTCTTGGTTTAATAGTTGTAGTATCATTTCCATTTAATTTTAAATGCTTTAAGTTCTGATGCACTACTTTTCAAATCACAATAGCAAAAGTAATTTCTCTGTAGTTTCCTGTCACTGGTAGGAAAGCTTTCAATAGCTCACTGGTAGATATTGCTTTTCAGCCAGTATGTAGCATTTTGTTGAGAAGAGGAAACTTTATTCATAGATGTTCATCTGACCCAAACGCAGGCAACAGCAATAGGCGGCTACTGCTGCTGAGTTCTGGAAAATAACCCTACACTGTTTGTGAGGTTCAGTTTCCACATCACATGACGTACAGTATTTCATAACGAGCTTTAATGATCTCTGCTGAGTTTCACGGTAGATAGTATGCTATTAACCACTTTCTTTTTTATTACCTCCTCTGCTCCTCTTCCTCATTAGAGCTAATAACAGGAGTGAATCAGCTTGGGGTGGTTCATTGCATCATAAGTGGAACATAAAGGAAATGCTTGTAACATGGTTGGATGAGAAAAACCCATTGCCTATGAAGAGAAATTAAATTGATGGACAGTCTGTACTAGAGCCATGGGATGTGGCACTTCTGTGACTGGGAGTCGGGCAAAAAAGTCAGAGAGAGGTAGGTGCTGCGTCTATGTCATTTGTTAGCCTTGTTTATCCTCTGTTAACAATGAAAGAGAATTAAAGGTTTGCACTTTTTCCCCCATTCCTGTTGTCAAGTAGTAGCTTAGATTAAATTTTGTTTTAAATGCTCTTTTTTAAAGGATTCCTGGCTTTTAAATATTGGTTAAGGCAGAATGACTCGAGTAGTTAAAAAGAAACTGAGATAAAACAGAGCTACCTCAATGATGGTCAGATTCAATAATTGCACTACAGAATGATTAGTCTGCAATACAGTGTTTTGTTTAATTTCTTGCTTAATGTCAGTTAGTCTGTTTGGTTGACAAATCTCTTTGGTACTTGGGTAAAAATTCAGTTAAAAGTTAATGCCGGCATTTTCCTTGTTCAAAAAATATGTCACACAGTGGTATATGCCAGTGGTGCTTGGCATAGAGCTAGAATGTGCCTAGCCTTTGCACAGTGCTCCTGGAGATGGCTCGATTTCCCTTTCACATGCCTTGCACAAGCTTTATTATTATTTGCATTATAATAGTGCTTAAAGACTCAATCAGGAAGCAAAGCTTCATGGTGCTTGGTGCTGTACATACGTGTAGTAAGAAAGAGTCCCTACCCTATTTGAAGGTAGAGCTTGCAGTCTGCAAAACAGAATGAGCATGGGGAGGGGGGAGATTTTTCTGATCATTTTACAGATGAGGAACAGTGACGCAGTGGCACAGATATTTTAAATGAGTGCTCTCCTTCTTCTGCTCGCCAGTTTAACACCCTGCACTTAATACTTGTAACACTCAGTGTCTGGTGCTGTATGGGATTAGCCCATTAGTAAGAGGGTTACATTTTAACCAGAATTTAGAGTAACATTAACTTTAACCATCACATTACCTAGGCTGTAAGCTCTTTGAGACAGGGCTGTCTTTTGTTTTGTATTTGTACAGTGCCTAAAGGGATCACGGTCCATGACTGGGGCTTCTAGGTGTTATGGCAATATAAATAATAATAACTACTCGATGCAGTCCCTTTAATGATCAGGGGGTGGGGAGAGGAGAATGGGGAAAGCTATTGATTGTGTAGACATGCCTCAGTTAGGTATGTGGAAAAAGCCTCTGCCCAACCAACATAGCTATGCTGGCAAAAGTCCAAGGCTATGGCTACACTACAGAGTTCACAGCAGCGCAGCGGCATCGGGGCAGCTGCACTGGTGTAGCACGGCTAGTGCAGACACTCTGAGCTGATGGGAGACAGCTCTCCCTTCGACTTCATGACTTCAGCCCCCACAAGCGGCGGTAGCTCTGTCAGCATGAGAAGCTCTCCTGCTGACAGAGCGCTGTCCACATTGGTGCTTAGGTCGCTCGGGGTGGTGGCTTATTCACATCCCCGAGCGACACAATTTATGCCAGCCTAAGCTGCAGTGTGTACATAGTCCTAGTGTAGATGCAGTTATTCCAGCAAAAATGTCATTTTGCTGGTATATCTTATTCTGTTCAGTGAACTGGTATAAACTATACTGGCAAAAGGACTCTTATGTGTCTCCACTAGTACTCCTGGGGGAATTCTGTGCTATTGCGCAATGCAGATTTTTTCAGAAATTCATGGGTTTTTGCGCAGAATTTCCTTTCTCCCACAAAAATGGGCTGGTGACTGCCACTAGGGGGCCGCTGGACCCTGCTGAGCCCAACTCGCACATAGAAGCCACTGCCCGGGAGGAGGGGAAAGAGGAGGAGGAGCTGGAGGGTTCCCAGCAGCTGCAGTTCTTCGCACACCCTGAGGGAAGGAGGAGGGCGTTGCGCCAGACATGCCAACCCAGTGGAGAAATCACAGAAATTGGGCTTGTTTTTGGCTTAATTGGCTTGTGAGTTGCTTGTTGGTTAGTTTCTGGCTTGTAGCTTGTTTGGCTTGTTGCTTCTTTTTTTTAGATTGGCTCCCGGCAAGCAGGGGCAAGGGGGGGCAAGAGGATGAGAGAGTCGGGGTGCACAATAGGCCAACCACAGTCCCAGACTGCACGCTGGGGGGTGATGTAGTCACATAGAGTGTTGGGGTTCTTAGGGATTGGCTTGTTTTGAAATGGGATTAGCTTGATTTCTGGCTTATTGTGAAAGTCGGGGTGCTTATTTACCGTGTGAAAGTTGGCAACTGTGCAGTGCTCAGGACATTCCATCATGCAAGCCTGGGAGTGAGCATCAGGGGGTTCTCCCTCTGGATCCCTGGGCTCTGGGGGAGAGGGGGCCGGGTGTCTGGACTGGTGGGGGGGCATGACTGGGCTCTGGGGAAGGGGGGGTGCGGGTATCTTGGCTCTGGGGGACCCCACAGCTGGGCTCTGGGAGGGGAGGGGGCGGGTGTCTGGGCTGGGCTCTGGGGAGGAGGGTGTGTGGAAACTTGGCCCCTTTCTGTTTTCACAGTAGCTGCACCGTAACTGTGTTTCATTGTACTTTTGTTGCTTTATGTTTTGGCAGCAATTAAAGCAGCTATCCTCATTCAGAGGTGGTATCGGTGTTACATGGCCCGGTTGGAGATGAGGCGACAATATGCTCTTAGCATCTTTCAGTCAATTGAATATGCTGAAGAACAAGCTCAGCTACAGGTCTGTACTTCTGGGTTCTTATGGTGAAACATGAAGGCCACACTTTCCAAAAATGCATCCCTAAGCTGCACAAACAAAACGGATAACTGCATGTGTGGGTTGCAACTTCCCAGTTGTGTCCCAACTGAATTTTTTGTCTCTCCAATTTCCTGATTTGCTTAAAAATGGGAATGTGGAAATTGCCATACCAGACTGGACCACTGTTCCATCCAATGCAGTAACCTGTCTCTGACAGTGGCCAGTATCAGAAGCTTCAAAAGAAGGTGCATGAACTCTGTAGTTAAAATTATGGAATAACATGCTTATAGGGGAAGTTTCTTCCTAACCCTCCACCAGTTAGTGGTTATTTTATGCCCTGAAGCAGGAGGGATTATATTACTTGTATGTTTACAAAAAGTCCTGTCTAATCCTGTGGATGTTTTGGATGCTTACCAAAAAGTTAAGTTTATATAGCTTTTTGCCTGTAATCCATTTGTTTGTTAACTGAGAAAGGTTTTGTAATTAAGGCTCTGAACTGGGACTAAGGAGGTCTGGATTTAATTCCTGGCTCTGCCACAGACTTTCTGTGTGATCTTGGGCAAGACAATTAACCTCTCTGTGCCTCAGTGCAATAAAATAATGTAAAATATTTCCTTTCTCACACTCTAGTTTGTCAGTGCCTCAGGGCAGATATTATCTCTCACTATTTGTACAGCATCTAGCCCAATAGGGCTACTGTAATACAAATAAATAATCATCCTAATCAACATTTTAAAGAGAGTGGTGGCAGTGGAAGATTATCCAATGGGCCACGGGGCCTGTACCTGGGGGCCCCAGCAAACTGGGGGCTCCGGAAAAATGGGTGCCCCAGCAGAAATCTGCTGTGGGGCAGCAGAGCCCAGAGCCCTAGTAGAAACCGTGGGGTGGGCAGGGGAATTCCCAGCACTCTGACCCCAGCTGGAGCCCTGGGACTGGAGTAGCTCTCTTTCCCTCCCAGGGTCTCAGGGCTGGAGTAGCTCTCATTCCCCACTGTGGACCCAGGGCTGAGGCTGGGGGGATGGAGCTTCTCCAGTCCTGGGGACACAGTGTGTGTGTGGGGGGGGGTAGCAGAAAGGAGCGAATGGGAGGAGGGGCCACGGAAGAGTGGAATGGGGTGGGGCCGCAGGCAGCAAGGGTGGGGTGGGGACACCGTTCCATCTCTGGGGCCTCCCCACTTGCTCTGGGCCAGGGCCACAGGAGACCTTAATCTGCCTCTGGGGTGTTCACTGGCGTAACCACAAGAACAAGGTGGAAAATTCTTTGCCCCCACATTTTTCTACATTTCTCACACTTTTCTTTACAAATACAGTTTAATTTTTTGGTAAGCGTTTAACATTTTTTAATCGTGTGTGTTTTAAATGAATTCTTACAAAACATTAAAAATGACTATAGTCAATACTGTATATCAACAGGCAGTGCTGGATTTCAAAATATGGTCCATTTTTGTCAGTGGTGCAACTGGAATCCATTTCTTACCGGTATGGGGGGCACGTGACCTCCTCACGTGACCCTCCATGTGACTTCTCCCCGCCCTGCCCCCTGTCCAGGGCCCCCATACTCTCCCTGTCCCCTCTCTATGATCCACCGCCCTTACCTGGTGAGGTGGGGGTTCTGTCCTCCTCCCACTGTGCCTTCGGAACCGCAGTGGTGAAAGGAGCAGAACATGGGGCCACCAGGCGGCCCCACGCCCGCAGCTCCTCCAGCACAGCTGTACTGCCCCCAAGCCCTGTCCTCTGGCAGGGCTCCTGGACAGATGGAGGAGACCCTGCGTGGAAGGGCTGGGGGCGGTACAGCTGCGATGGAGGAACTGCCAGTGTGGGGTCGCCCAGCGTCCCCATGTTCTGCCGCTCCTCTTTCCTTCGCCGTACCAGCTATAAATATCTTGCTGGTACTGTACCCCCCCTACTTGCACTGCTGCTTTTTGGTCATGTTTTACATGTTTTAATGAAGCTCAGTTAAAGTTCATTCTATTCTGAAGATGAATAGTATCAACTAGCTTTAAAGGAATTTGTTGAATTTAATTAGTGTATGTTTATGAATCAGCGTTAGCCCACTAGCCTGCAATAAGCAGGAGGGAGAAAGTTGCAACTCTTACGGGAGGACAAGGTTGCATTGTTATCATAAACTAGTGATACAGATCCAAGGTGCCTCTGTATCTTTCTATCTAAATGTCCTAATTAGCGGGAAAAGAGTAAAGAAAAATGAGAGACCATTAATGTTTGTGTGATCTCCTGAATTGATCAGTGTATTTTTTTTCTTATTCAGCTGTCCAGTTTTTTTACATTCATGCTGGATCACTTTACTCATCTCAACGAGACTGATACAGGTAAGGATAAAAAAGGTTTAATATGAAAATTCCAGTTTAAAAACAAACATTAGAAGGTGAATTGTCCATGTGATGCCTAGCTACATGCACATGACTGAAGCTTAGCTTGGAGCTTTCCATACACTGTAGTAAAAACTTGATCCTATAAATGCTGATTCTGTTAAATATATACACAGTAGATTGAACTGTGTGAGATTCCAGTCGAACATACAAGTAGCCCCCAAAATGTATAGAGTGTTCTATTATACATTCTCTCCTTGAAGAGCTAGTAAATTGTTCTTGTGGTCTTCCTGCTTGCAACCTCCCCCCTGCCTCCCCCCCCCCCCCCGCCCACCTCCAATCTCTAGAACTATGTATTTTTCTAATTTGTAATGGAAAATTCTCAAAAAGGAGTATGCATTGACCAATACTGGGCAAATGTAACAAAGCACAGAGGTGTTCTCTATGGCATCATCTGAAATAGGCAAATACGGAGCATTTTTTAGTGTAATTTCTTCTGGACTTTTACTGCAGAGCATTTTATGTGGGGCCAGTAGGAAGCTGTCTGGCTACATGAGTTTTTCCACTTTTTTTAGCTAACCAGAGTTGCAGATGCCCTTGTGGATATGATATGGATTTTTGACACTCCAGCACGAATACTTTGGTTTAATAAAACAATGACTGGATTATGTTTAGTCAGACATTTTAAAAATTTGGGACAGATGTTTATAGATAATTTTATCTTCTTAAAAATAGTTAGGTTTCAGAGTAACAGCCGTGTTAGTCTGTATTCGCAAAAAGAAAAGGAGTACTTGTGGCACCTTAGAGACTAACCAATTTATTTGAGCATGAGCTTTCGTGAGCTACAGCTCACTTCATGAGCTGTAGCTCACGAAAGCTCATGCTCAAATAAATTGGTTAGTCTCTAAGGTGCCAACAGCTCACGAAAGCTCATGCTCAAATAAATTGGTTAGTCTCTAAGGTGCCACAAGTACTCCTTTTCTTTTTTTAAAAATAGTTGTAATCACTGAACTCAGCTGGAACAGACTTGCCAGGGGTACCTTGGATCTCTCTGCCATCCTACTTCTCTGATCCTGTAGGAATGAGATATTCTGAAAATTAAGGAGAACAGCCAATGAAGGAAGAAGGTGTAGAAGCAGAGGGTTGGAAACCAGAGAAGATTCAGGAGGAAAGACCACAACAGGAACATACTGTAATTTCACTTCAGTAGAATCATAGAATTGGAAGGGACCTCGAGAGGTCATCTAGTCCAGTCCCCTGCAATCATGGCAGGACTAAGTATTATCTAGATCAGGGATTGGCAACCTTTGGCACGCGGCCCACCAGGGTAAGCCCCCTGGTGGGCTGGGCCGGTTTGTTTACCTGCCGCGTCTGCAGGTTCAGCCGATCACAGCTCCCACTGGCTGCGGTTCGCCGCTCCAGGCCAATAGGGGCTGCGGGAAGTGGCGCGGGCCGAGGGATGTGCTGGCCACTGATTCCCGCAGCCCCCATTGGCCTGGAGCAGTGAACCGTGGCTAGTGAGAGCTGCGATTGGCCGAACCTGCGGACGCGGCAGGTAAACAAACCGGCCCAGCCCGCCAGGGGGTTTACCCTGGTGGGCCGCGTGCCAAAGGTTGCCGATCCCTGATCTAGACCATCCTTGACAGGTGTTTGGTTAACCTGCTCTTAAAAATCTCCAGTGATGGAGATCCCACAACCGCCCTGGGCAATTTATTCCAGTTCTTAACCACCCTGACAGGAATTTTTTCCCAATGTCCAACCTAAATTGTACTTTCTGCAATTTAAGCCTATTACTTCTGATCCTATCCTCAGAGATTAAGGAAAACAATTGTTCACCCTCCTCTTTGTAACAACCTTTTATGTACTTGAAAACTATTATGCCCCCTCTCAGTCTTCTCTTCTCCAGACTAAACAAACCCATTTTTTTTTTCATCTTCCCTCATAGGTCATGTTTTCTAGACTTTTAATGGTTTTTATTGCTCTTCTCTGGACTTTCTCCAATTTGTCCACATCTTTCCTGAAATGTGGCACCCAGAACTAAACACAATACTCCAGCTGGGGCCTAATCAGCGTGGAGTAGAGCAGGAGAATTACTTCTTGTGTCTTGCTTACAACACCCCTGCTAATACATCCCTCCTGAATGATGTTTGCTTTTTCTTTTAACCGTCTTACATTTGACTCATATTCAGCTTGTGGTTCACTATGACCCCCAGATCTCTTTCTGAAGAACTCCTTCCTAGGCAGTCATTTCCCATTTTGTATGTGTGCAACTGATTGTTCCTTCCTAAGTGGAGTACTTTGCATTTGTCCTTATTGAATTTCATCCTATATGACTGAAGTGAATAGTGCACAGGATTCAAGGAATACCAAAACCATTCAGAATATGAACAATTAAAATGATCAAATTAAAATTTGTATTAGGCTATGTTACAAACATTTTGCAACCAGCTCTAATAAGGCAATGAAAGACTAGCCTTTGATCTTTAAAGTGTTTTGAGATCCTTGGATAAAAGTAGCCTTTGAAGTTCAAGTTCCACATGGAACTACAGCCTGAAACTGACTTCTGTTAAACCAACATCAATTTGTTCAGAAGGTCTGAAGAGACATAAGCAAATTGGAACCTAGCTGTGTTAAGAAGGAGGCAGTCCTCACCTTACTGAGTCATAAAAGAATATGAAAGGTCACTTCTCCTTCATCTGAGCCAGCCATTGATTACTTCATTTAAAATGCATACAAGGCACTTTGACAGCAGAATAAAACCATCAAAACCCATAAGTGGTTCAGTGTTCTAATGGCAACAATTAGAAACAGCAGTTCTTCTCTCTTAAACTGCCGAGAGTGCCTAATGTACAGTGCACTCTTCTTGAGGGAGAAAGTACATCTGAGCTATGCTCCAGGGCCAAGACAGGGAATAAGGTAGTCCTGCAATTCATTTTTCTACACAGTGCACTGTGATAGATACGTGCAGTCTGCGAATGATCTGCTTTTCTTGTGGGGTTTTATAAGAGTAAAGTGGCTAACTTGAAGCAAATTTAATGATGTTCATATCACCTACTAGTTAGCTGCACTAATGGTGTATGTATTTTGTTTCCCTTTCTGAACCCAACTGAATCCAAAGTTTTTAGGATGATGGGTTAGCTTGGCTATTCAGTGGCTTGTAAATTAGATTGAACCATGTTTGAGATGTCTCCCCTAACCAGCCTAGATAAATCTATGTATATTGACCTTTCTTAGGTAAAGGTTTGATAAACACTTTAACTACATAGGGTGTCATGGCTCACTTCTTGTGCCCACACAGAGGAGTAAGGGGTATAAATTGCCCCTTATTTTCCCTGTGTGGTCTACTTGCATTAAAAGCAAATATTAGTTATACTTAAGGACTGCCTAAGGAGGTTATGGAAGCTCCTTCACTGGAGGTTTTCAAAAGGAGGCTGGATAGCCATCTCTCTTGGATGGTTTAGACGTAACAAATCCTGCATCTTGGCAGCGGGTTAGACTAGATGACCCTTGCAGTCCCTTCTAACCCTCTGGTTTTATGATTCTTGGTCCAAAAAAAAAGCTTTCATGATAAAGCTCAATTTTCACTGTCATATAGTTTTGAGAAAGTTGTATCTTTGGGGCTAAATGTTTGAGACTTGGTGTCTGCCCAAAGATAACTCTTTTTTTTTTCTTGTTGTTTTTTGAGTGTAAAAAGGTCTACTACTCTGACGATAGGAGAGGCTAAAAAATACAAGCTTCCCATAAAAAAAAAATCTTATCAGGCCTACAGCTGAAAAAAATGAGGATTGCAAGTGTCAAGATTGGCATGAAAATAGTTCTCATTGAGAGGCAGCACAAGGCCTTGCACCAAAGGGAATTAGTTTAACTATATGCATGTTATAAGTGCTTGCATACTGAAAATGTGCAGTAGAGGTTTTTGTTTTGGTTTGGTTTTGCTTTTTTGGTTTATTTAAATACTACGCTTGTCAAATCAATGTCTAGGCTTGAGCTGTACTAAAAAGTTAGGTCGACCCAGCTACATCGCTCGAGGGTGTGAAAAATCCATACCCCGAGCAGCGTAGCTAAGCCAACCTAGGCTCCAGTGTAGACAGTGCTAGGTTGACAGAAGAATTCTTCCATCAACCTAGCTACCACCTCTCCGGAAGGTGGATTAACTAGGTGGATGGGAGGGATAGCTCAGTGGTTTGAGCATTGGCCTGCTAAACCCAGGGTTGTGCGTTCAATCCTTAAGGGGGCCATTTAGGGATCTGGGCCAAAAATTGGGGATTGGTCCTGCTTTGAGCAGGGGGTTGGGCTAGATGATCTCCTGAGGTCTCTTCAAACCCTAAGATTCTATGATTCTCCAATCAGTGTAGGTGGTGTCTACACTGAAGCGCGGCTGTACTGCTTTAGTGTTTAACTTAAAGCACATACCTAAGTCCATCCCTATTTAGTGAAGCATTTAAGAACCTGACTTTACTGGGACTTAAGCAGGTATTTAAAATGCTTTTCTGGATAGGGCTATTCTTAAGCAAGTGCTTAAGTTCTTGCTGACTCAAGGCCTTACGGAACGGACCTACTGTGAATGTGAGCATAGTGAACAAAGGTTTCAGAGTAGCAGCCGTGTTAGTCTGTATTCGCAAAAGGAAAAGGAGTACTTGTGGCACCTTAGAGACTAACACATTTATTTGAGCATAAGCTTTCGTGAGCTACTTTTTGTGAGTGTTTCTTATAGTGAACAAAGAAGCTGCAAATCAGCCTAGCCAATTGTCCAAATGTTCCAGGAAACCCAGGATCTAGTAAAAAGAATTCTGCTGCTGCTTTCCTCAACATGTTCCTTTAACTTAGGGTAATAGAAACAGGGCTAAAAAGTCCTGAGTAGAGGTAGGCAAAATATTTTCGATTAACTTTGCATTTTGGGGGGCTCCAAAACTATTTGTCTTTTGAGTCAATTTGATATATTATTTCCATTAAAAAAAACAATTTTTTTAACGTAAAGTTTTTTTGTTTCTGCCATGTTG